ACATTCCAACAGGACTTGACAGCATCCTATTCAGCATGCGCCACCCAAGAATGGTTACAAAATGAGGTTCCTCGTTTCATTTCCAGCGCAAAATGGCCACCAAAATTACCAATCCTTTGGACTATTGTGTCTGGAGTATTTTGGAAAGCAAGGTTGGCACTAAAAAATACCAAAGTGTTGATCACCTGAAGCAAGCGCAATATGTGAACAATTCGAACAAATCTAAACCTATTTTAAAATTTGATGCTATTTCCGACATTTTTTGCTTTCATTCAATAAAATTTTTAAAAAATGTACAAATTATGACGCTTGCCTTTGTTGTACTTTTTCATCTCACCCGGTATTTGAAAAAAAAACGCGAATATAATTTCTTTGTTTTTTGATGAATTTTTGAAAAAAAAGGAACGAACTTTTTCGAATTGAGGCATGGAAGTACAGTGTTGCCCATATTCGACGGACCCATCTGGCAACGCCATAACTTTTGACAGAGATGTCACATCGTTTAACGACATACCGCGTTTGAATCGTCAGTCCAAGCAGATTTTTACCATGAACCAATACACGCCACGCGAGCGCTCTGAAATTTACATTCAACAGAATCAATTGCGAAAACTCATCGTGCTTTTAAAACATTAAAAAATGTGAGAACACCATTAAGCGTTTATACGAAAAATTTTCGACTGGTAAGGCTCTTTCTAATCCGAAGAGGTCATATAAAAGTCGAGCAAGGCGATCGGCCGAGAATATCGCTGCCGTACGAGCCAGTGTTGAGAGGTCCTCAAGAACATCCCAAAAACGCCGTTCTCAGCAGTTGGGCATGGCTCGGTCCACTTTACAACGGATTATTCGCATTGATTTGCATTTGTTCCCGTACAAAATTCAATTGACGCAAAGAATGTTGCCTGCGGACAAGCCTCGTCGATTGGAATGGGCCCAAAGGTCCGTCGAATATGGTTGCCCATATTATATGTATACTTTTTTACAGCTAATTTTAGACGTTTCGATTCTGAGTTAAAATCTCGCTTAATTCTTCATTTCTTGGGGAGGGTGTCAAAGGAAGAAATATTTTAGATCCAATTTAATTGTAAGTTTCTGAACAAAAGAAATTCATATACTTAATATGTACCACGAAAATAAACCTTAAACCTTACACTAAAAAATTGACTCACAGGAAAGTAATAAATGATATATAAGCGCATACGGGCTTTCAGGAATACATTAATAACCATTAGGAAGTCATTTAGGTTTCTGAAGGCTTCCATTAAAAGTAAAAAAAATCGGTTTTTTATTTATTTCCAATACAAATGTGTGCGGTCTACCTAAATCTCACCCAAAAAATATTCCAATAAAAATCGAAAATCATCCATACCAAATGTACCTAAAAATGTTTGTATGTTTTATTAGCTTTTTTTCGGTTTGTTTATTTTGGTTTTTCTTCTCTATAAAGCTAAACATGTCTACCCGTTCCCTAAAAAATTGAAAAAAAAAATTAATATGGCGACCTCTAAACACCGTTTATTTATTGACATCGAAACATATTTGTTTATTTTTCATTTCTCCCTTTTCATTTTCATGCAGCTGACGATGGCTCAGTATTTCTTAGAAATTTCGATTTTTTCATAACCAAACCGCGCACATCCACGATGGTAGGTCCTTCAAAAGCAAAAAATGCCATTAATTTGTTTGTGAAGTTATTTATTGGGATTTTTTGTAGGTTTGCTTTTTGCTGCAACTTCAAGGTTAAACGCAAACTTTTAACTGAAAACGAAATGATATCATCATCATCGAGCAGTGCATGGCGGAAAAGGCGGTTTTATTTTTGAAGAAGAAGAAAATTTGTTAAGGCATACATATGTATATGTATATGCACATGACAATATGTATGTCTGTACGTTATCTGGCGGTATATTTTATGCACATGCCAATTCTTTGTATCAACAAACCCAATATACGGTGGTAAGTGCAAAAATTTGTTGTATAAATAAATGGAATATATATCACACGTGATAGCACTGAGCTGCAAAAACGGAGTGTTGACATATGAATGTTTTTTAGTTCCTCGAATTTGTTTAACAGATTTTTAATTTAATTCTCAGATATATTGTGATTTCAGAAGACAGCAGCTGCAGAAAATCAGTCACGAAATTCAATTTGTTTGAAGTAGATTTCATTGTTTGCATTTTTTATTTTAATTATCAGAGCTATGCTATAAAGTTGATATGTTAAGAATACTTTGCATCGTTTTTTGTTGCATTCCACGTTGGGCGCCGATATTGAATACTTTCATAAAATTTCAGAGAATTGTAGACAACTTCCCACATAAATTATTTAAAACACCTATCTGGATAACTATGCCCGTCATCTAAAGCCCAGACTACCGTCTCCTATTTCTAACTACAATTTGAAATGTTGCCCCCATATTGGGCGCCAATCTTAAAACCTCAAGTTTTAGTCATTATACTGTTGTTTGCGCACCTAAACAAGTATGTTTCAGAAAATGTACAAATATAAATATTTCATACCCCTTTCGAGCCACTCCCCACGTAAGGCGCCACGCCTGAGTCTTTTATGATTAATTTAAATAAAAGTTGCTAATCTCCCATCTAAATATATACAAAATTCCTGTCTAGATATTAATTACTTTGGGAAAAAATAAAAGCTGTATAAGCCGAATAAGACATTAAAAGGTAATGTAAACACTCTACGAACTGTATTATTAGTAGGTAGAAAAAATGGGTTATTCCTTAAAAAATAAAAAATGACTTACTTTTCTCATTACCAAATAATGAGTAACTGGAATTAATTATTTACTAGATTTTCTTTTTTCCAATAAAAAGAAATATTTCCTCAAACGTCAATGGTGGTTTTTTAATTATGATTAACGTGGACTTTTTAACAATATTTTTTCAAAGGACTATCTGGAGCCTTTTCGAAGGTCTTTCATGAACTTCTATATTTCTCAAAGGAGTGGTTCTTTGAATTTTCAAAGACAGTTTTTGAAAGGAAAATCGAGATCTTTTAAATGATAATTTTTCGAAGGACTAACGCGGATTATTTAAACATATTTAAAAAACAAGTAAAAAAGCTGTAAGTTCGGCCGGACCGAACTTTGAATTGCCTCCGCCATTTGGAACGAATTTGGCAAGGGTCAATACGACAAAATGGACCTGCATAGCCAACTTTTGTCATAAGGCATTACAATATTCAAATGCGGAACTTGAAAAAAAAAACCCTTTATATGGAGACTATACCAAAACGTGGAACTGCATACAGGGCTATACGAAGACGTGGACCTGAACAGACATTTTTCTGTCTTAGACTGTAGTATCGATTACGAACTTCAAATGCCAAATTTGAAACAATTCCGAAGAATAATGTCCTTAAAATCATCAAAACACCGAATATCGGGAGGTACCATTATATGGGGGCTATACGAAGGCGTAGACCTGCACAAACAATAGGAATAGCATTCTGCTATTATATAAATTCTGCCATTCTATACGAATAGCAAATTCTGCTGCTATTCTATACGAATAGCATATTCTGCTGCTATTCTATACGAATAGCATATTCTGCTGCTATTCTATACGAATAGCATATTCTGCTGCTATTCTATACGAATAGCATATTCTGCTGCTATTCTATACGAATAGCATATTCTGCTGCTATTCTATACGAATAGCATATTCTGCTATTCTATACGAATAGCATATTCTGCTGCTATTCTATACGAATAGCATATTCTGCTGCTATTCTATACGAATAGCATATTCTGCTGCTATTCTATACGAATAGCATATTCTGCTGCTATTCTATACGAATAGCATATTCTGCTGCTATTCTATACGAATAGCATATTCTGCTGCTATTCTATACGAATAGCATATTCTGCTGCTATTCTATACGAATAGCATATTCTGCTGCTATTCTATACGAATAGCATATTCTGCTGCTATTCTATACGAATAGCATATTCTGCTGCTATTCTATACGAATAGCATATTCTGCTGCTATTCTATACGAATAGCATATTCTGCTGCTATTCTATACGAATAGCATATTCTGCTGCTATTCTATACGAATAGCATATTCTGCTGCTATTCTATACGAATAGCATATTCTGCTGCTATTCTATACGAATAGCATATTCTGCTGCTATTCTATACGAATAGCATATTCTGCTGCTATTCTATACGACTAGCATATTCTGCTATTCTATACGAATATCATATTCTGCTATTCTATACGAATAGCATATTCTGCTATTCTATGCGAATAGCATATTCTGCTATTCTATGCGAATAGCATATTCTGCTATTCTATACGAATAGCATATTCTGCTGCTATTCTATACGAATAGCATATTCTGCTATTCTTTGCGAATAGCATATTCTGCTATTCTGCAATTCTATACGAATGGCATATTCTGCAATTCTATACGAATAGCATTCTGCTGTGTTATGAGAATAGGATTCAGCTATTTTAGGAGAATAGCATTTTGCTATTCCATGAGAATAGCATTCGTCCTCAAATGCGTAATATGCACTCCCCAACAATGAAATTGATACCGGGCATCAGATCATGCTCGAAAATACCTCTGCCACATTTTGTCAAGATCGGATCAACTTCGACATACATCTTCATCCGATATTACGGTAATCGCTTACCATTTATGTAGCATAGCCCAAATTGAATAGGTTTGGTATTAGAGGTAAAAAAGCCTCCGTCAAATTTTTTGAAAATCGATTTTTCAAAAAGCTACTACTCTAAAGCCATGATACGCATTCAAATAATGTTCATAGTTGGTATGATCTACCTCCCATAAATTCCCAATATAAACGTTTTTGTAACGGGAGCTCTACTGAATACTCATAGTGGTGTAGGGTAACATATAGTTAGCCCCTTTTGACTTTTGACCATCCCTTAATGGTTAAGAATATTTTTATAATTTTATAATTATGTGATATAATAACACCAAAGTGAATAGTTGCATTAATTACCTGGACTTTCCACACCTATAATGGCATCCGAATCCTCTTTAAAATTGCAGCAATTTGAAGGGAATATTAAAAGAAATTGAAATTTTTCTATTAATATTTGAAATAAAAGGCATTGCATTTACAAAAAATGTGCCAAGTGAAAATGTTGCCCAAAAAGAAATGGAAACCAAACATTTTTGAAAACAGCAAAGAATTTGTAATTGTAAGCAGAGAAAACAACTCATTTTCAAGTGTGACTAACTAATAACGAATGACTGTCTGTCTGTCTGTCCGGCTGACTAATCAAGAAATACTAATTTGTCTATGACAAATTAAAAAAAAAAAAACAAAGAAAAAAATAATGAAAATTAACGATGTATAGCTGCAATTGTTATTAATAGTTATTACAACATTCACTATTTATATCATTGAACTAATGTAATAAATGACTGACTAAATGAATGAACGGATGGGTGGATGTACGGTTAAAAAGACAGACGTTTGGACGTTTCTGAGTGTCTGTGTTTTGAGAAAATAGAAAAGAAATATTCAAATAAAATCAAAAGAATTTAAAAAAAAATCTACTAAAACAAGTAAAATCAAAAGTGTGTTGTTTTGCTTTGTTTTTTTTTTTTTTTTTTTTTTTTTTTTTTTTTTGAAATATGCATTGAAATTGCATTTCTGTTTCTTATGTCAGTGGAATAAGAACACATATTTGAATATCAAAAAAAATATTTCAAAAATTCTTTGAAAATCTACACAGCGCCGCCAAATTTTCAAAGTCAATGTATTGTTGCGGCAAGCAACAGTTGTGGTGGAGTAATGTAGCAGACCAGAGATACATAAGAGCATAAAATAAGAAATAGGCTGAGAAGATCAGAAGAGTTTTTCTTCATAGAAAGTCAGATCCTCCCTGGGAGAACCCTGGAACGACTTCTCTTGGAAAGCAGGAAAGTCTTTTCATAAAAGACCAGAAGTTATTTTCTTTGAAGCTCAGAGTATCATGAAGACCATTATGCCTTTTCTTAAGATGACTATGAAGCCTTTTATATACCCTCAGCCATATGGCTAGAGAGGGCATATGTCATTTGATACGGCCAAAACGTGCCTCATCGAAACAACGGTTTGGACCCTAGGTCTCTTTGAACGAAAACCATTTCAGGACACTTGGAGTCGCTCTAACGATATCAGTCTGACTGTCTTTCTGGCTGAGGCGCACGATGTCTCTCGAAGGGAGTATCCAAATCCAAATTTCGTGCATCGCAATATTATTATCAAACTTAGATCGAGTTCGGAGATGGGCTATATCGATATACTTATTCTGGTCCAAAAAAATGTTTTAATGCACAGAAAGAAAAAGGGTAATCCGATCCAAATTCCCAAATCCTAGTATTTGCATTTGTGCTAGGTCAGGTGCGAAAATAGACAATATCGGTCCACTCCATCAAGTACCTCCCCACAAAGGGTCAACATTTTGAATAATTATAACACTTATAAACTATGAAATAAGAGTCGGATTATCTTCAATTTGCACACAACACAATATTTTTATTAACCCAAGGTCTGGCGTGTTAATGGAATACATCGGTCTACTCATTCTGATACCAACCCACAAAAGGTTGAAATTCTCAAAAAAAATATTTTCTGCACAGAAAGAGAAAGGATAATCCGATTTGGCTCCAACTTTGTAAACCCTAATATTTGCATCAGTGATGGGTGAGGTGCGAAAATAGACAATATCGGTCCACTCTATAAAGTACCACCCCCACAAAGGGTCAAAATTTTGAATAATAATAACTTTTATAAAAAGTGGTTTGTAAAACCCTGATTGTCTTCAAATTATACACATCACAACAGTTTCATTAGGTGTGAAGATGGAATATATAGGTTCACTCCTTCTGGTACCTCCCCGCAAAAGGTCGACATTTTCAAAAAAAAAAAATCTGCACAGAGATCGCAAATCCTAATATTTGTCAGACGCGAAAATGGATAATATCGGCCCACTCCGTCATGTACCTCCCCCACAAAGGGTCAAAATTTTGAATAATTATAAGTCCTTTAACATGTGATGAGAGAGTGCGTTTGTCTTCAAAATACACACATCATAATATTTGTATTAACCAAAGATCTGGTGTGAAGATGAAATACCCCTACTGGTACCTCCCCCACAAAAAATCAACTTTTACAATATTCATGAAGCTCATAAAACCCGAAATTCAATTTTGGTACATCTCAATGTTTCCATCAACACAAGATCTGTTATAAAGATGGTACCTTTCCTACTGGTATCTTCCCCACAAAGGATCAAAGTTTTTGAATAACCAAAACTATTATAAAATCCGAAATAAGAATCCGGTTCTCTTCATATTTCACGCATCCCATTATTTCTACTAACACAAGATCTGTTGTGAATATGGGATATATCGGTAGACTCCTTCTGGTACCTCCCCCACAGAGGGTCAAAATTTTTAATATCCACGAAGCTCATAAAAATCGCGAAATTTACATCCAATTCCATTCAGATTTAGCACATCTCAATATTGCCATCAACACAAGATATGTTATAAAGGTTGTAGAGTAAGAAACATTTCTTCTAGTATCTCGCCCACATAGAGTTCAAGATTTTGAAAAATAAAACGCACAAAGAAATAAGCATCCAACTCTCTTCAAATTTCACACACACAAACATTTTTGCTAACACAAGATCGGTTGAGAAGATAATATCTATCTGCGAACCTCTTCTGATACCTCACACACAAAAGGTGACAATTTTCAAAACTTTGATTTGTCATAACTTGCCAAACAAATCAGCTATTGTTTACAACTTGCAATATTCAAATATCTCTCTCAACCGAAAACCTGGGATGAATATAAAATTTATGATTTCGCATAAAATTGTATATTTTTTCGATTTTCTTGTAAATTTGCCCATACCAATATTTTTATCTGTTTTAGATGAAGTATGAGAATGGACTTCTTCGATCGACTATATCTGGCAACTCACGCACATTTTAACATCTTCCAGAAATTATCACATATCTCATATAAAGGACGGAAGGAAGTAGACAATATAGCTCAAAAACCTGGCACATCGCAAAATTTTTGTCACATTTATGACGAAATGGACAATATTGAACCATTCCTTCGGAACCTACTCCATAGAGGGTCAACAGTTTGAATAATCAAAACCGAAGTCAAAATATATTTAAGTAATCGAACATTGGCTCAGAGTATACATCTGTCGGCAAAACCGGCTGAAAATTCTTAACTTGTTAAGGAACGCAAGGAAGTCTTCCCTTAGAATACCTAAAGGCCTAGCCTTGGAAGACCAACGTTTTGTTCTTTCCGGCCCTCTTAAAGACTCCCAAAATTCTCTTCAACAATATTTTATTTCATTCTCTTAAAAATCATTTTGAATATCTTCCCCTGAAAATTCGCTGCATTGCTCCAACCCAAATGCATATTTGTTTTCGCTGCCACTGCATTGCATTCTTGTGTCTCATTCACTTTTCGAAAAAAAAGTGGGTGGGTGTTTCGGAGCAGGTTCACTTGATTTCAAAATATGTGTGTAGTTGTTGTTTCTATTTTTTTTTTTATTTTTCATGAAAACAATTTTTGGTGTCTGGTTTGTTTAACATTTGCTCCGATGGCAAATGACGTTGAATAGCATTCAAAGAAGAAAAAAAACAACAAAACTACAATAAAGAAAAATAGTGCAACACATTTTGACTTTGAAATAATTTTCAAATACATCTCCCTCCCCCCTTTCCCTATTTGCCACCCATTCAAAAATTAGGCCGAATTGTGGAAAGATGATTGGATAATCTTTGAAATAAGCCTATTTGAAATTTCCGATGAGATTGACATCTGTTTTATATGATATGGGTGGGCAATGACGTAGAAAAGCCGCATTCCCAAATAATAACAACAACAACAATAACGAAAAAATTCAAAATTATAAAAAAGAATATTATTTGGTTTGAAAAGATGTGAAGAAATTTGAAATAAAGCTGCAATGAATGCAATTCAAAGCAAACATGTTTGGAAAGCGGCAAAACAAAATAATGGAATATTGGCCCAGGCAGGAAGGTGGCAGCCAACCGCAGCAGTGGTGGCGGTGGTGTCAGGGTTTTTTTTTTATTGGCTGCCACCTCATGGCCGGAAAAATGTGGGCAGGTAAGACACACAATGTGCGCACATTTATTAAAATTTTTATGAGTTTGTTTTTTTTTTAATTTTGGGTGCAACTAAAACATTTCGTAGGAAAACAATTTTTCGTAGATTGAAAAAAAATAATTAAAGAAAATATTCATCAACAATAACCCCAGACCACTTTGAGAACTAATTTTGTTTATTTTTTTCCAAGGTAAAGATTTTTTAAATCATTTCTCGGAAAATTTTCCATATGTAAAAAAATTGGCCGCTACTACATCTGTAATTCGAAATAATATTCGAAACTTTTAAATTGAAATTCCAGAACTGCATATGTAATTCGGAAAATATATATGTATTTCATAAATTTTCAATTGTAATTCCACACTGTGGTAAGGAGATGAGATGGACCCATAATTATTTTTAAGGATCCTCACAGAATCATTTCCTGAAACTATTTAAGGATATCCATCAGTTTGTCTTTGAATCTGTCCATGCATTTTTGTGAACAAAAGGCCGGTCATATTTATAGTCGAATTAAGATGAAATTTTCCACAAATCATTTGTTTGGCCCAGGGACGAACCCTATTGAAATTGGTGATAATTGGATCAGATTTGGATATAACTCCCACATATAGTGACGTGCGATCTTATAAGTACTGTGCATCAACTCGATCTTAGTATGTGGATCCGATGCATATATAGGGTGAGATGAAAAAACTGCAACCAACTTCAGGCTGCTGTCATTTCTAAGCCACTCGTCCGACAGCTGTTAAAATTATTCCAGTGACAGCTCATTATATTGTTTAAAAGTGTACAGAAGCATTTTGGTGAGAATTTTCCAGAAAAAAAGTTATTCGTGATGGAATTCAAGCGTGTGATTATAGTGTGATTTCTTTATGTTTTGATAGAAAACCACAAGTGGCTATCATTAGAGTACTCCAGCATTTAAATGTGAATACATCTTTTGTGTCTCGTACATTTGCTCGTTACAGTGATACTGGTTGCGTAATCCGACGGCAAGGAAGTGGACGAAAGAAAACAGCAACATCAGCAGAAATGGTTCGAAAAGTAAAGAAGCAACTTGATCGAAACCTGCGTCGCAATTCGGCAAATATTGAAAAATTACCTGGAGACATTGAAATTCAAAAAGTGCAAGAACTTACACCGCAACAGAAAGAAAATAGACTGAAATGAGCTAAAGAGTTGCTTCGCTTGGCCGAAAGTGGTGAAGTGCCGAATTTGGTTTTCTCCGATGAGAAACCATTCGTTACAAACTAAACAAACAAAATGATCGTGTTTATTTGCCAAAGAAGTCAGATGAAAATGTGCACCTTCAGTTGGCCACCAGAACTCAAGCGCCGTCCATGGTGATGGTGTGGGACGCCATAACATTCGATGGTCGCTCTCTGCTCGTTATTATCGTGGTATCAGAATATATGCCGAATATTATCGCGAAAATATTCTGAAGGGTGATTGAAGTCTTGGGCACGCAAACATTTTGACCGCTGACCTTGGACATTCCAACAGGACTCAGCACGCGCCACCCAAAAATGGTTACAAAATTAGGTTCCTCGCTTCATTTCCAGCGCACAATGGCCACCAAAATCACCGGATACCTATCCCTTAGACTATTGTGTCGGGAGTATTTTGGAAAGCAAGATTGGCACTAAAAAATACAAAAGTTTCGATCACCTCAAGCAAGCGCTTCGAGGGGTTGGGCCAAAATACCGCAGAACAACATTCGGGCAGCGTGTGACGGTTTCATTGGCCGTGTGAAGGCCATAATTCGTGCCAAAGGTGACCAATTCGAACAAATCTAAACGTATTCTAAAATTTGATGTTATTTCCGACATTTTTTGTTTTAATTCAATAAAATTTTAAAAAAATGTAAAAAGTATGGCGTTTGACTTTGTTGCAGTTTTTTTTTTATCTTACCCTGTATAGTGTCGTGCGATTTCATAGGTATTGTGCATCAAATGCGTAATATCAGACCAAATCAGATCAATTTTAGCACAAAGAACCAAATTCAGTCCAGGAGAATAGTTGGTAATTTTAGCGAATATTAGTTCAGATTTAGATATAGCCAATCGGATGGAATTCAGGATCATGTTTAGGCCTGAAACATGTGTACCAATTTTGGTGAATATCTGTTAATAGATATGGCTCCAATATATATATAATATGAAGTTTATTTTGCACCAAATACGAAAATGCAAGCCCAAATTGAATAAATTTTGACACATACGACTGAATTCAGCCTGGAAAAAAATGGGGCATAATTTAATGAAAATTGGTTCAGCTACATTTATGTTTCACCCGATTTTGAATTTAGATCCCTCACACCTGTACCGAACTATATTTTATGTTGGCACGCAGATAGAGGGAGTGGACCGAAGTAATAATTAATAGTTACTCAAACTTTTGACTTTGGAATCGGATGCTAATTTCGCTAGTTTCTGAGAAGGAATGGTCCGTTTTATGCCTTCCTTATACCAGATCTTGAATTTTGAGATGCTCGAAATTCGAAGACAAAAGGGTTCTTATTTTACATTTCATAAAAATTATAAATATTTAAAACTTTGGTCCTTGGTGGGAGAGGTACTTGATGGAGTGGACGAATATTGTCCATTTTCGCTCCTGACCTAGCACTGACGCAAATATTCGGATTTGCAAAGTTGGAGCAAAATCGGATTATCCTTCCTCTTTCTGTGCAGGAAATATATTTCTTGAAAATTTCGAACTTTTGTGGGGCAGGTACCAGAAGGAGTGGACCGATATTGTCCATCTCCGAACTCGATCTTAGTTTCACAAAAATATAACGATGTACAAAGTTTGAACCAAATCGGAAACTCCTTTGAGACAGATAGACGGACGGACGGACATCGCTAGATCGACTTCAAATGTTTTGAAACGGATTTGGTCCAAAGAGACCTAGGGTCTATTTCGACTAGGCACGTTTTGACCGTATCAAATGATATATACCCTCTCTAGCCATATGGCTGAGGGCATAAAAATCGAACATTGTCTGAGGGTATACATCTGTCATCAAAATCGGCTTATACTTTTTCTTTTCCTACTCCTCCGTCCTCAATATTTAATATTTTCCAAAAATATTAATTAGACTAACTATTTTACTTATTTGGTTAATAGCTTGGCTTAAGGTCATTAAAAAACTATGTTTTTATTTTTGAATTTTTCCTTTTTTATTCATCCAATATTTCGATTTCCTCCGGAAATCATCTTCAGGGATATTTTTAAAGTAAAAAGCTCGTCTATTGAGTTTAAATGTCACTATCAAAACTAACTATTTTTTTTTTTTTAATTTCCCTAAAGTGTTCCAAAAGTGGTCTAGAGTATTAAAAAGAATTAATTTAAAAATTATTACAATTTTAAATATTTTGATTGAAATCTTACCTTCATTCACATAACCTCCCTCCATGGTGCCAAACGTGTACAACTTGCTGCTTTTAGTATTTAACTCGAGCGAAGAACCGACGAATTTCCTTTGCTGGTGAAATTCGGAAAATTTCTAATTTCTTTGTATGATTTTTTTTTTTTTTTTTTTTGATTGCTTTTTCACCAATTTACAATATTTTTTTTATATGGACAAAAAATAGATATTGATTTTAAATTCACTTTAAAATTTACATTTGTCTTCTAAGCACTCTGTAAAATAGGATAATAAAACCATTGAAAATAAAATTAAAAGAACAAATATAAAAACAAATAATTAACAATAAATTGCACTATGTTTTTAAAAGATAACACTTGAAACTAGCAACTTTAAGATTTCCCAATACGATTTTCTTTTAAACGTTACACCACATGCACACACGCACGATTTCAAGCACTTGAAATTGAAATATATTCTGGGATTTAATTTCTCTCTTTGTTTTCAATTCTTTAGAGATCCAAGACACGACAGATTTATATTTGCACTTGCATTTAATGTGTTGAAATTGTATAGTTTTGATTTTTTTTCTTGGGATTAAATTGGTATGCAATGAAAGAAAAATCTTTGCATTGTTGGCTTTAATTTGGTTATATTTTTATGAGCCGTTATTGCCGTCATTTATGGTAATGCCTTGCACTATTCCACACTTGCGGACAATATCACACAGTTTTGATTCTTTGAAAATTCAATATCATCCGTTTTAATTCTCAAGGAGTCTTTCCTTTTCTCTTTTGGGCTTTTGTTTTTATTCCAAAAAGTCCTAAATTTGATTTGAAGTTATTGACCGTCCACTAAAATGCCATCATTTATACCACATACACTTTGGGCCCGAGAACTAATGGAGAAATCTGCAAAGAGTCAAAAGAAAAGAAACACATATTTAGATATCATGGAAAAGTAGTAATTAATGAAAAAATATGCCTGTAAATACGGACATTTCAGTATTTGGGGGCTATGAGCCAATTCTGTCATTAAGAACATATGGCTAAAATCGTCATAATACCGAATTTGTTGAGGTTCAATTATATGAGGGCTACAAAAACTATAACCGATGTACAGGGTTGCCCATATTCGACGGACCTCGACGAGGCTTGTCCGCAGGCAACATTCTTTGCGTCAATTGAATTTTGTACGGGAACAAATGCAAATCAATGCGAATAATCCGTTGTAAAGTGGACCGAGCCATGCCCAACTGCTGAGAACGGCGTTTTTGGGATGTTCTTAGGGACCTCTCAACACTGGCTCGTACTGCAGCGATATTCTCGGCCGATCGCCTTGGTCGACTTTTGTATGGCCTCTTCGGATTAGAAAGAGCCTTACCAGTCGAAAATGTTTCGTATAAACGCTTAATGGTGTTCTTAGAAGGCGCACTTCTCACATTTTTGAATGTTTTAAAAGCACGTTGAGTTTTCACAATTGACTTCTTGTAAATTTCAACTATTTCAGAACGCTCGCGTGGCGTGTTTTGGTTCATGGTAAAAATCTGCTTGGACTGACGCTTCAAACGCGGTATGTCTTTAAGCGATGTGACATCTCTGTCAAAAGTTATGGCTTTGCCAGATGGGTCCGTCGAATATGGGCAACCTTGTAGTTCATCTTCCAATTTGTCCTGCCTGCAGACAAAAGACAACTTTGTGCAAAATCTTAGCTTCCTTTCACATATCGTTTGGCCTCTAGCATGAATACAACAGATGAATGGGTAACTCGACTTAGCATTTTTCGCTAATCACGAATATATATACTTTGTTGGATCTAAAATTTCGATGAGTTACAAACGGAATCACAAACTTCATATACTCCTCATACTATGTATGTTGGAGGGTATAAACAGGTTAAAAGCACCAGTGGGATTGCCGATTATTTGCCAAGAAAGTATTTTTCTCTAGAAATCTTTTACAATATTCAGCAAGTTCTTGAAATATACTTTAAAAAATCGAAGATTGTCAAAATATGAATTTCCATATCGGTGATTTAATATCCCATTTCGAAGCACTTTTAATTTTTTGCGTGACTAATGGTCAAGATCTCTAAAATTTGGCAGTTTCGTAATGTTATGACTATATCCATATTAATTATTTTATTTATATTTAATATTTAGCATAAAAACCCATACATATTAAATTACAGCTGAATAAGTTGGAAACTGGGGCCGAAAATTAGAAAGATCTATGGCTGGTTTTTTATACCGAGTTATAGTGTTAAAATACAGGTGATTTGGTGGGAAATTCGAAATGAAAAAGTAAAAAAGCTTCAGTCGGTTTTGCCGACAGATGTATACCCTCAACCAATGTTTGATGATTTAAATATATTTTGACTTTTGTTATATTTATTCAAATTTTTACCCTTAATGGAGTAGGTTCCGAAGGAATGGGCCAATATTGTACATTTCGTATCGGACCTAAATAAATATGATATAAATATTGAGAAGTGCGATTTTTGGACTATATTGATAATATCCTTCACTTTATATGAGATATGTGATATGATCTTTAAAAAATGTTAAAATGTGCATGTACCTCACATGCACATAAAGTCGACCGAAGTATTTCGTTTTCATACTTCCTCTACTACAGATAAAAATATTGGTATGGGTAGAATTACAAGAAAATCGAACATTTATATCCAATCTTATCTAAAATCATAAATTCCACATTAATGTCACGTTTCTGATTGAGAGAAATATTTAGGTATAGCAAACTGTAAAAAATCGCTGTCTTCTTCGCAAATGATGACAGATGAAATATTGAAAATTGTGACACTTTGTGTGTGAGGTACCGAAAGTGTTTCGCAGTTATCCTGGATGGGATAAAAAAAACTGCAACAAAGTCAAAAACCATAGCTTTTACCTATTTTTTTTTAATTTATTGAATGGAAGCAAAAATGTCGGAAATAATATCACATTTAGAATAAGTTTAGATTTGTTCCAATTGGTCACCTTTGGGACGAATTATGGCCTTCAAACGCCCAATGAAACCGTCACACGCTGTCCGAATGTTGCCCATTACCGGCGAAGCACTTGCTTGATGCGATCGATACTTTGGTATTTTTTAGTGTCAACCTTGCTTTCCAAAATACTTCAGACACAATAGTCCAACGGATTGGTATCCGGAGATTTTGATGGCCATTGTGCGCTGGAAATGAAGGGAGGAACCTCATTTTGTAACCATTCTTGGGTGGCGCGTGCTGAGAGCAATGGTGCTGAGTCCTGTTGGAGTGTCCAAGTTCTGCGGCCAAAATGTTTGCGTGCCCACGACTTTAATACACCCTCCGGAATATTTTTGTATTAATATTCGGCATTTATTCTAATGCCACGGTCAATAAATACGAGCGGAGAGCGACCATCGGCTGTTATGGCGGCCCACACCATCACCATGGTTGGCGCTTGAGTTTTGGTGGCCAACCGAAGGTGCACATTTTCAGCTGACCTCTTTGGTCACTTATTTACTTTTCGAACCATTTCTGCTGATGTTGATGATGATGATTCTTCGGTCCACTTCCTTGACGTCGGCCTACGCTACCATATCACGGTAACGAGCGATGGTACGAAACACAAAAGATTTATTCACATTTAATTGCTGGAGTGCTCTAACGATAGCCACTTGTAGTTTTCCAGCCAAATATAAAGAAATCACACTATCACGCTTGAATTCGATCACGAATAACTTTTTTCTGGAAAAATCCCACCAGCTTTTGTGCGCTTGTAAACAATATAATGAGCTGTCACTGGAATAATTTTAACCACTCTCGGACGAGTGGCTTAGAAATGACAGCAGTCTGAAGTTGGTTGCAGTTTTTTCATCTCACCCTGTATACTCTCTCTAGTCGTATGGCTCAGGTTATAATAAGGAAGAAGTTGAAACCTATCCCCTTTTTTTGGTAACTTTGCCCAAAGTTCCGATACACGTATCTTATCGTATTAGTTCTGGTTTCATAATCTACTGAAGCTTTCCTTTTATTATTAAACTATTTGCATTTTGTCGCACATTGCTATTATGTATTTCCAAATGCTAATTTTCATCCATCCCTGGATACCAACAAATCATAATTTTATAGTTGCATTACCTAATAACAGAAATAAAGAAGAAGAAATAAAGAAGAATTTCCATTCTTATACCTTATGAATATACCTACTGATATTTTTTTATAATTATTAATAAAGATATGCCTACATTAAAAAGAGATTACAATTTAACACCTAACTTTGTTGTGTACCACAGGCTGGAAAACATCCAACACGCATTGCTCACACACACCCATACATACAAACCAACAATTTTGCGTAAATATTTAACTTTTAATTACCAAGAATTTACGTGTCGTCTAAACAAATGCGAATAGTTAACGTTCACGTAGCTAAAAAAAAAAACAATCTCAGGTCTATTTACCGAAAAGTGACTCAAAACAAGATAATTATGGGCCAGAGTTATGCGTGGAGCGGAACTGCTGTTGCTGCTGACTGTGTTAGTGTGTGCGTGTTATACAGTTACACGGTATGTGACATTGCATAATAAATTTGCCATATTTGTCTTGGCAATTTCCGCGAAGAAGAATGGAAAGTACCCGGAGGCAGCAATAATAAGTACATCTGCCTAGATGACACACATTGGGGAGATAATTGTGAGTCAGCATTGCGGTAAAATATGGGATTACAATTGTTTTTTATTAAACGTTGTATTAAGATTTTTTTTAGAAAATTGTTGCGAACAATAAGAGGAATTTTGTTCTTTTCTCCTCTAAACATGCCATACAAAGTGGATCTAATAGATTTTCATATAGAAGACCTGTGGATCTTCGCAAAGAAGTTATGTAGATCTTCTCTTAGAAGATCTGTAGATCTACTCATAGAAGACCGGTTGATTATCGCATAGAAGATCTGTAGATCAACTCAAAGAAGATCTGTAGACCTTCTTAACCCGCCAATGGTGACGCACTGGTCTGTGAGACCGGTTGTGTTAAAAAATTCGTATAACTCTCTTCACCGTTATTCGTTTTTGTTGCGATTTCGAGTAGCTGTAGCTAAGTACATCCCCCACCGTCAGTTCATGACGAAACTGCTTAGTGAACACAAGTTCGTGTATTTTTGTTCTACCCTGGTGTGTGAGACCGTGAGTCACCGTTTGTGTAAGTAAAATAATCAAGAATTATTTTTTTACTATTCGCGTTTTTATTAAGTTTATTATAATTTGTTGCTGTTTTATTGTAAATATATGTG